TGCCCATTTCTGCCTCCGCCGGGACTAATATTGACCCATACACCAGCCCCTGACCCAGAATAGGGCAACCCCCTACTCCGCCCCTACCTTCTTTGAGACATTCACCCCCTGCCTTGTGATGCCCCTGCAAGGTAGAGCTCCCCCCTCCCCCATCCTACCGTTTAATCCTCCGGGAACGATCCAATCGGAAATTTCTGAAAGTCATGATGAAGAAAGGTAGATTAATTTTTTTTTTTAAGATTTTGCTGATGACAACGAAAAGCACCCTAAAAATGATGATGATGAGGATGATGGTGACGACCAACTCACCTGCTGATGTGAACGGCAAACAATGCCTTAAAGAGCAAACATCTAATGATGACAAACTGATGATGATGATGATGATGATGATGATGGTAGTGATGAGAATGAGACAGAATGATGCTGCTGATCATTCAAAACATCAGCACCAACAGCCCCGTCCCTCTGATTACAAAAAGATGATGATACTGATGATGTCGGTGCTGCTGCTGCTGCTGCTGCTGCTGCTGATGATGATGATGATACACCGCGCCCTGTGATGACGACAGGATGATGACGGTGCTGATGACGAGCACCTTTGATGATAACCTAATGATGATGATGATAATGATGGTAATGATAAAGATAAGCAGCGCCCTATGATGATGAACTTCGTCAACCGCGCTCTATGATGGTGAACTATTGATGATGGTAATACAACGATGAGTAACGAACAGCACCCCTGGCGTGATAGCAACCAGAGAGAGTCGAGTGGATACCATATGAATCATGATTGCGGAGCCGTTGGTCTTTTCCGGGTCCTACGCTGTCAGACCCGCAGACATTTCCGGAGATGTCAGAAGGGTCAACAGCGGAGGAGGGTGTGCGGAACGATGGGAAGTTGACTAGGGACGAGGAAGGTGGATTCTGCCCCCTGAAGATGACCACGTGGCGGAGGTCGAAACCGATCGGGGTGCCATGCCCGGAGGCTTGTGTTGCAATCAATGTACCTTTGGACTTCTTTACAATCGTACATGTGGATGCATGTGCATCACCTGTATACTTTTGAATTGCGCAGCTGTACGTGAGTATGCATGTGAATCACAGCTCTGAAACAGCGTAACTACCTACATACCTGCAATGTGGTGTAGAGGTTTTCCCTTTTCCAATGCTGTGAGGTTTTCCATAAACCACTGCTACCTTTCAGACGCAAAGTCTGAGTCGAAAGTATAACCCATGGTCCTATACTGCATTCTTCGGAGGCCGGGCGCCGCCGGACCAAAATGGCTGGCAGCGCCAGCCAAAACAAAAGAAAAAACGTCGCACTGGCGCTTCAGCAACGCTTCGCACACAGTTCTCCTCCGCCTTTGACGCCCTGGCCAAAGGAGGCTCGGAGGCCGAGGTGGTTTAACGGTTGGGCCCAAAAGTGGGTGAAAAAAGAAAAAAATAAATAAATTTGAAAACATGGTTGGACTGCGCTCACCGAGATCTCCACGAATCTGCAAAGACGTTTGGGGGCGTGGGGGGTTTGGGGGTTGTGGGGGGGGGGGGGGGGGGCGGGGGGGGGGTATTTCAGGGGTTGAGGGTCGGGGGTTGGGGGGGGCATGGTGAGGGTGTTAATGGTGGGGTTTCTGCAAGCACGGGCTTCAGCAGACATTGACAACAACGTACCTGGCTTTCTGCAAACGTTAACCTTTCGCCCAAAACTTTGAAAAGGGGGCTGGGGGTGTTACTGGCACGGTAGGGACGGTACTTCCCACCCAAAAACTTTGAAAAGGGGGGTGGGGGTTACAGTGTTAGCGTGTGCTTGTCACCGCTGTCTGGTCCAAGTTGCCCTTGATACTGGCAGGGTGATGGTCCTGAGTGCTGGTCACACTGGGGTGTTAGTGGCATGGTAGGGACGGTACTTCCCACCCAAAAGCTTTGAAAAGGGGGGTGGGGGCTATAGTGTTAGGGGGTGCTTGTCACTGCTGTCCGGTCCAAGTTGCCCTCGATACTGGTAAGGCGATGGTCCTGAGTGCTGGTCACACTGAAGTAGGATAGTAGGATAGGGGGTGCGCTGGGAGCATCAACATGGTTCAAGGAATGTGATTGCAATTAGGTAGTCAGAGGTGGAGAAAGGACTGACTCACCCTGTGGCCGGTTTTAGCAGATAGAACTCATTCTCGAAACCTGCGCGTAGCTCCTGTTTCACACACAGGCAGGAGCCGCAGGATGTGTCAGTACACAGACTCTTTGCGAAAAAAAAAGAAGAATTGGGTGAATGACTTCTGCCGGTATGTACCCAGAAGGGTCAAGTTTTTGAGTGAGACTCACCCTTGGGAACAGACCACAGAGGGAGTAGCAATATGATAAAATTAGATAAATAAATGGATTGGTGAAGGTAGCTCAGTTGGTTGAGCACGTAAGTGTGGTATTCAGGTGGTCGTGGGTTCGATTCCCCGCATCGCCCTTTCAACTCCCACCCCACTACTTGTTCACCAGCCGAGATAGCCCGCTCGCCCCCCCCTCTACTCGGTCTTGGGGGGGGAGTGTCTTCCCTCCATCTCCCGCTAGGGGTTAGGATCCTGGGTACTGCTCCCCGCACAGAGTAGAGCACTGGTCCAGTGGAAAGACATAGGTAGCTAGGTTGGTAGTAGGACAAAGGGGGAAAAAAAAAAAAAAAAGGAGAAACCAAATAGAGGATGCTGAATTTGGCAATCACCATGACAACTGATAGTGTGACCATGCCCATCAAAACACTCACAATAGCTAATGTCAATTATGTCAGGTTACAAAAACAAACAAACAAACAAACAAATAAACAGGACCTTCTGGGCCTGGGCTGCCTGGCTCCATATCCATTCCGGGGAGCATCAGTCCGGTTCCTATTCCACCGGCACCGGCGGCAAGCCAGAAATACAGATTACAACTGGCAAATGTCATTTCCCTCGGGTGCTAGTGCTGCCTGCTTTTACCAGCAGCACTAGCACTTCAGGGGGGGTTGTACACACACAAAAAAAAAAAGAAAAAAAAAAAGTCATTTTGATTGCCGGCCAGGATGAGAGAATAAACTGCATCACAGTTTGAACATACAGTCACCATCGCTTATACCATTCGCCATTGTTTTTGTTTGTCAGCAGCACTAGCACTTCAGAACTTTATAAGTGAGGTCGGTGGTGTGTGCGGTCAACTGTGATGCAGTTTATTCTCTCATCCAGAATATACAGTTGCCAGCTTACCATCACATACTTGGCGGTCTTGACCGCACACACCGCCGACCTCACTTCTGAAGTCTCTATACATATAAAGGAAAACGCGGGTCTCGCGTGACAGTCCCGCGCGAGACCCGGTTCCCTGGTTTGGGACTCGTGGCAGGCCCAAGGGCGGACTGCGTGCCGGTTCGGTGAGGCCGGGGGGTCGAGTCGGGTTGCCTGCGGGTGGCCAACGGGCTCTTTTTTCGCTACCGTTTTTTTTCGAGCCGCGCCGGGGGGAGGGGTTGGTGTCGGCGCCACTTTATGAACGGGCTCTATTTCTTCCATGATGCAGTCGGCCATATTCAACCAGGTAGTGTATATTTCCATGTTCTAGCCGAAGATTCACTGGATGTTGCTCGTCCTATCGATGGAAGTAGGGTGGCGCGAGCCGCGAGGTCGGATCTTCTCTCTCTCTCTCTCTCTCTCTCTCTCTCTCTCTCTCTCTCTCTCTCTCTCTCTCTCTCTCTC